ACCCTTAGGGGGAGCGGATTTGTGGTTAGGATAGGAATATACCTAGTCACCGTGCTTAATTAAATATCGTGACCTTAATGCGTTCTTAATAGATTGATTTCATAGGAATATAGGCGTTAATCTATTGAGAATAGGTGAGTAGTACTTCGGGAGAAGGCTATGAGAGCATTTATCGATTAATTAGCAACCATGAGTGAATTATATGAAGGGGAGAGTTAATTAAAACACAATACGAATGGTGAATTGATCACAACCCTGGAATATTTGTCTCTACTGAATACACAACAATCAATTCGTTACTTGATAATTTAGTTATTATTCAGAATCGTAGTATTGTATAATCATATTATTGGACTTTGATTTTAGCTGGATTGAATAACAATTTTAGTGATTTAGTGAGTGGTTTACACAAGTCTCTGTGGGTTCGACACTCAACTTATCATTATATTACTTGTCGACCACGTATACTTGCGTGTGCATTTGGGAGCAACAGTAACTGGACCAACCTGGCCACAACTCGTAATGTATAACTATAAGTAGGAAAACTGTATCCATGAATCATCTTTCATAAAACATGAATACATATGGGCCGTCAAGACCTCTGACATACTGCACAAAAATGAAACCCTTGCTTACAANNNAAGCAAAAAGATGATGCTAATTACAAGAAATTCCTAGATATTTTGAGCCAAGTGAGTGTGAATTTGCCTTTGGTGGAAATTTTGCAGGAAGTACCTAAGTATGCAAGGTATCTCAGAGATATTGTGGCAAACAAACGAAGACATGCAGAGTTCGAAACAGTTGCACTTACTGAAGAGTGCAGTGCCAGAGTTCAGAGTAAACTTCCTCCTAAGTTGAAGGATCCTGGGAGTTTCACAATTCCTTTGTCTCTGGGAAAACAAGATGTTGGTAGAGCCCTGTGTGATTTAGGGGCTAGTATAAATTTGATGCCATACTCTTTCTTCAAGCAACTTGGATTGGGGGTGCTCAGACCTACTACAATCACTTTACAGTTAGCAGATAGGTCACTAGTCATACCAGAAGGAATTATTGAGGATGTGTTAGTTCGAGTGGAAAAGTTTATTCTTCCTGCTGATTTTATTGTTCTTGATTACGAGGCAGATGAGGAAGTGCCCATTATTTTGGGGAGACCATTCTTGGCTACTGGTGGAGCAATTATTGATGTGAGGGCAGGGAAGTTAAAAATGAGAGTTGACAATGAGGAGGTCACTTTTAATGTGTACAAGGCACTTAAGCTTCCTAAGCATTATGAGGACTTGTGCATGATTACTGTGGTCGAATTGAAGGGAATAGAGCAGAGGCAGTATGTAAATTATAGTGATCTAGATGGGACAACGGAGTTCGAAGAGGTGGTGATTCCAGCTGAGTGTGTAAAGATGATTGAGAAAAGAGCCAGAGATGAAAGAGGAGACCTTCCGAGAGCGTGCAAAAAGGCTAGACTCCATGGGAGAAAGAAGAAGAGAAAGCGCCCAGCCTGAGCAGAGTAGCAGAGTCGTGCCACGACTATAAATAAGGCTCTTGTTGGGAGGCAACCCAACATGTATATCTTTTAGTTATTGATTATTTTTTTTTAGTGTCAAGTTTTGTGTTGTTTTTATTTTGCAGAGTAGGGGAACTCTGAGTACCCAAAGTTGAAGCTGGGGAGCATGTTTGAGCTTAAGTGTGGGGTCATCCCGACCCTTAATATTGAGGATTAGGTCCGAGCTAGGCCCGAAAGGGCCTCAGGGAGTATTTCTCACCCTTGTTTTAATATCTTTCTCTGTGATCATGCATCGAGGACTATGCATAATATAAGTGTGGGGTGGGGAAACTACTTTCTGAAGTATAATTGTATAAAACTGATTTTTGTTAGAACTCGTAGTAAAAAAATACACAAAGAAAAAACGAAAAATTGAAAACAAAAATTTAGAAAAAGTTCAGATTTTTTTCCCGACGATGGATCTTTTGGACAATTTTCTTGAGGGATAAAAGTACGATTAAAAATACCAAAAAGATTTTGTTTTTTAGAATAGCTAGGTAGTATTCCTTGGTTTTTCTTTGGGCACCGGTTCTTTTCCAAGGATGTAGCTCGAACCGGGCACTTTAATTTCTTTTTAGGAGTAGTTTAGGAAGAAACTAAGTCGTTCTGAGATACTCATTGACATGGTTGATGCTGGCACATTAGGCTATGACATACATTCTGTCTTCCCGTGTATTTGGTTTGAATTGTAAAGCCTAAGTAAAGTAAATAGCCTATTTTGTGATGCCTTTTCTCAGTTGTTTGACTTGTATGCTATATAGTGCAATGTTGCTTAAATTTCTCATTTAATTGTGCTTGCTTGACTTGAGAGTTGAACAAAACCGTCTTGATTGAGTCATGTACAACGTGTGTGTGAGGATTTGTGGTTTTCTGTGCTATCCTGTGTAGTCTAGAACTTGCCCCGTGTGTTAATTGAAGTGAAATTGTAAGTTGTGCTAATCTAGGAGATGACGTAGGCATTTTCTTGCTTGATCATGGATGTGCTTGTCACATAAAGATAAAATTTTCCGTTGCTAGCCCCTTTGAGCCTATAGACCTTTCTTTTGGCACCCACATTACAAGCTATACCCCCATTTTGTTCTTAATTTGATATTGATTGAACCTGTACCTCCTAAGGCACTTAGTCGCTAGAAGAAGTAAGGTTAGAGATTGGGGAGTAGCTTTTGAGTGGAACCATGGAAGGGCCCGTTGGTGCATTAAAGTTGAAATCAAAGGTCACTAGCCAATGAACTTTAATATATGGAGTGTGTGAAGAAAAGAGAAAGAAAAAGAAAAATTTAAAGAAAAGAAAAAAAAATTATAGTGAAAGTATGTACAAAAATAAACACCTCCAATTCTTATTGATTTGTGCTAGTGAAAAATAGAGAAGTGCTTAATTGAAAAGAGTGCTATGTTGTATATGGCAAGTGATTTGGTTGAGAAGAATATGAGCTTGAATTGTAAATGTAGTGTATTAAAAGTGCTTAGGAGGGTTAGCCACTATTTTTAAATATATCCTACCCGTCCCTTAGCCTACATTACAACCTTAAAAGTCCTAATTGATTCTAGATTTGGCTAGCTTAAATTAGTGGAGATCTACACTACGGGCAAGCTTATGGTACGATCACATGATGCATATGAATTCTTTGTGAGAGTGAGCGAATTTTGTTCAATTGTGTGATGTCCTTAATCTATATTCAAAAGCATATTTGAATGTGTGGACCAATTTATATTCACTCTTTTGTTTGTTGGTGAGGGCACATGATCTCATGAATGATTGGTAATATTGTAAACTTTCTGGTTGGGTAAGTGCATGAATTGAGGGTGCTTAGTGGTTGCAAGTCGGCTTTTGAGGTTGGGTGGTGACGAATAGGTTGTTGGAATTTATTGAATTGAAATATTATACTTGAGCATGCTTAAACGGGAAGAATGTGAAAACTTCGTATGTTCATGCTTCTGTGCCGGTATTGATCATAGTCAAGGGTATAGTGTGTGGTTAAAAGTTAAAGTGCTCCTCTATAATTGATACTTGTACGTAGTTGGAGGGTAGTAGATTGTCCCATTGCTCGAGGACGAGCAAGAGTCTAAGTGTGGGGTGTTGATGTTTAGCTTAAAGCATATATATTTCTATGTATATCGTCTCATATTTTACTTTTGTTTCGTGGATTTAGGATGTGAAATATGTTGATTTATGTTAATTTGATGTGTTTTTATATGTAGGAATGATTCGGGAGCAAGTGGGGGCGAAACGTGCAAGATTTGAGCTAAAATGAACAAACCCGGAAAAAGAAGCCATTTGGGCGCCACCTGTGGCGCCAAAAACAGTATGCAAAATTGGGCAGCGCCCTGGTGGGCGCCTGGCGCCGGTGACGTGAATTTTCTCCAATTTCGCCTGGGATAAGGTTATTTCGGCCCTAGACCTATCCAACACGTATAAAAGCAAGACAAAACCTATTTTTGGGGGGAGATGCCACTTTGGAGTAAAAACACACACGGGATCGTGAGGAAGCGGAGAATTCTCAGAATTCTTCATCTTTTAGTATTTTCAATTATTCAAAACGTATGCAATTGTTTGATTACATCATGAGTGGCTAAACACCCATTGTTTTGGGGTTGTGATTTAGCCATGAATATTGTTGTTTGATATTGACTTGACCTTGATTATAATTCACCAATATATGGTTGTTTCTTCAATTATGTGATTAATTGCTTAATTGTCTGGCCAGCAGCTAGGTTCTATTTACTATCTATGCTATGCTTGGGAAAGCCGTGTTTAGATTAGAGAAGAATTGAAGAGAGTCTGATCTTAACCCTTAGGGGGAGCGGATTTGCGGTTAGGATAGGAATATACCTAGTCACCGTGCTTAATTAAATATCGTAATCTTAATGCGTTCTTAATAGATTGATTTCATAGGAATATAGGCGTTAATCTATTGAGAATAGGTGAGTAGTACTTCGGGAGAAGGCTATGAGAGCATTTATCGATTAATTAGCAACGATGAGTGAATTATATGAAGGGGAGAGCTAGTTAGAACACAATACGATTGGTGAATTGATCACAACCCTGGAATACTTGTCTCTACTGAATACACAACAATCAACTCGTTACTTGATAATTTAGTTAGTATTTAGAATCGTAGTATAATAAAATCATATTATTGGACTTTGATTTTAGCTGGATTGAATAATAATTTTAGTGATTTATTGAGTAGTTTATACAAGTCTCTGTGGGTTTGACACTCAACTTATCATTATATTACTTGTCAACCACATGTAGTTGCGTGTGCGTTTGGGAGCAACAAAAATGGAAGCTCATTATTTGGAAGCTTCTTGAGAATTCATTGTAGGTCAAATTCCAAAGCTCATAGGTGTAGAATATTATTCAAGATTATAATACCCATGTGAAACATGCTCACTTCATTTTTCTACACATCAACAAAATAACTTGTTTTAATAATTCGGTGGACCTTATTATATCAACCTTCATCTTTCTCTTCAATGATGAAATGTGAAGAATATATATCATTATATTACCCCTGACCCTTATCATTGATCTCAACTATCCTGTTTCATCTTCCAAAAAAGAAAAAGCTTTAACATTTCAATGGCTTCTCTTACTAACTCAATTCTTACATTCCAAACAAGTACACCCCATCAGCATGAAGGTACTAGTTTTAGACCCGATTCATTGCTTTTTTCTACTTTTTTTCCTAGCCAAAAGTTTCCAAATATAGTAAAATTGTCAACAAGAACACCAGCCTCCTTGTCGTCTAAAAGTAGCCGATCTCTTACATCTATCATCAATGAGCTCGAAAAGGAAAGGGACAATAATATAGTGGATGAATTAGAAGAAGGTGAAAGTACAAGTACTACGATAATAAAGATTCAAGAACCAGAAGTAGCAGATCATTGGCTAGAAATTCTTGGCAAAGATGATTGGGTAGGCATGCTTGATCCACTAGATCCACTTTTACGAAATGAGTTAATTCGATATGGAGAAATGGCTCAAGCTTGTTATGATGCTTTTGATTTCGATCCATATTCTAAGTACTGTGGGAGCTGCAAATTTCCACGGCACAAATTCTTTGATGGTCTAGACATGGCCGACTATGGCTACGATATCACACGTTACCTATATGCAACTTCAAATATTAACTTGCCAAATTTCTTCAAACAATCGCGTTGGCCTAAGGTATTGTGTGGGGTCATTTCATCTAAAATTTTAAACTGTTAAAGAGAATATATTTTTAATTATATTATATTTCAACAGGTATGGAGTAAAAACGCAAATTGGATTGGTTATGTTGCTGTTTCAAATGACGAAACCTCGAAACGCTTGGGCCGCCGTGACGTAACGATTTCATGGAGAGGGACTGTGACTCGTTTGGAGTGGATTGCTGATTTAATGGACTTTCTCCGTCCGATTTCTTCAGACAAAATACCTTGCCCTGATCCTAATGTCAAGGTCGAATCTGGGTTTCTTGATCTCTACACTGACAAAGACGAGAATTGCAGGTAACATTCAAAACTTAAATTTGATAGGTTCAACATTTAATTTTTCAACACCGAACCATTATACTTTTAAAGTTATCCGTTCATATATAACTATTTATTTGTTGAAATTTTTTACATGTATATCTAAGCATAAAAACGTTGGTTTAGTTAAACTCATTGATTATATGCTATGTACTGTGTAGGTACTGCAAGTTCTCAGCAAGAGAACAGATACTAACGGAGGTGAAAAGATTAGTAGAAAAGTACCCAAATGAGGAAATGAGCATAACAGTGACTGGACACAGTTTAGGCAGTGCTTTGGCAATATTGAGTGCGTATGATATTGTGGAAACGGGAGTAAATGTAAGGGCAAATACTAGGGCTGTGCCTATTGGTGTATTTTCCTTTGCAGGGCCAAGAGTAGGAAATACAAGGTTTAAAGAAAGACTTGAAATGTTGGGTGTCAAAGTTCTGAGAGTTGTGAATGTTCATGATATTGTTCCAAAGTCCCCTGGGTTAGTGTTTAATGAGCATTCTCCGTCTATGGTTATGAAGATCTGTGAAGGGTTGCCATGGAGTTATTCGCATGTTGGAGTAGAATTGGCTTTAGATCACAAGAATTCGCCTTTCTTGAAACCAACTAATGATCTTGTTTGTGCTCATAATTTGGAGGCTCATTTACACTTGCTTGACGGGTTAGTCTTTCTTCTTTTTTTTTTTTTTTTTTTTTTTTTTTTTTTTATTGTACAATTCAANCGAGTAGTGCACCCGGAGTCTGATACACTGCAGCTGCATGTCCAGGAGCCTGAGCGGTAGGGGTCTGTGCTCCCCCTCCTGCCTATGATGTAGCTGGATCCGCTGGAAATAACCTAGCCTGAGTCATGGTGTCCATGAACCGCATCATACGGCCCATGATCTCCTAAATTCTCGGTGCTGTCATGAAGTCCGCCGGGGTAGGCTCAGCTGCAGACACCTCTCCCTGCTCCTCAATGATGGGATCTTCTATAGGATCCGCCGGTGGTGATACTGGGATAGCTCTGGGACACCCTCGTCCCCTACCTCGGGCCGGTTCCCTCCCCCGGCCTCTGCCTCGGCCTCTAGCAACGGGGGGAGCAGCTCCTCCCGGGTCTTGCGGAATTATCTTATAGAAATTCGTAACAGGACCTTTCCTAGAGAATATCACAGTTAGCCATTTACATTTCAGGGCATATAAACAAGTTCAGCCCCCAGCAATATACCGAGCAAGAAGCATACGCAAGTAGTGCCGAGGTCGTACGACCCGATCCAACATAAAAGTAAAGTGTGGATTGCCGGAGGGTCGAACGGTGCAAACCATAGATGCATCTATTACCTCGCTCGCGAATCATATATGCGACGCGGTCAAATGTAATTAAGCACAACAAACAGGCAGTCAAGAATATATCAGGGAAGCAATTACCCATAGAAATGTCAACTCCTCTTTAAAAGATCAAGAAAGTGATGTTTCTCGTATTAATTTCATTTACCACATTCAACATGGTTTAAGCAATCCCAATTAACCATAGAGTCACAAGAATAGCACATAAAGCATGCTTTTGGGTCCTAGACTACCCGGACTTAAGCAATGTAGTGGCTACGCACGGACTCTCGTCACCTAGTGCGTACGTAGCCCCCGCATTTAGTGGCAAATTATTCAATTATTACACCTATGGGGACAATTCCCTTTTACAAGGTTAGATAGGAGACTTACCTCGCTCCAAAGCATACTTCCAATATCAAGAACGTGCTCAAACCCTCAATTTGGAGCCGAACGATCCAAAACTAATTAAACGAGGTAGGAACTAGTCAATACAAACTCAAGAGTTCGCTTTTTAATTACTAAAGTAATTTCCCAACCTTAATCATAAGTTTCCTAAAATCCGACCCCGGGCTCACGCGCCCGGATTCTGAAATTTTTTGAAGAAAGTTGTTCTCTATAACCTAAGGATCAATAATATATGATTTCTACTTCATTCCATAATAAATTTCGTGGTAAAATCTAAGTTTTATCAAAACCCTATTGCTCTAATCCCATGATTTTTCACTAATTTTTGTGTGTTAATCTACCCAAATCCCAAGTATTAAACTCACATTAAGTAAAAATATCTTACCTCACAATGCTATGTTGAAATCTCCTCTTTGAAAGCTCCCAAATCGCCCAAGTGTAGAGATAAAATGAAATAAAATGGCCTAAGTCCCGTTTTTAAAAGCTGTATCCAGGCCTCTGATGTCGCAAATGTGACATCAGGTTCGCAAATGCGAACTCGCAATTGCGACAAAAGCTTCGCAATTGCGAGCTGGCCCCCCTCCTGCTTTGATCGCAAATGTGATCCTGGGGTCGCAAATGCGAACCCTGCAGGGTTCGCAATTGCGAAGAAATTGTCGCAAATGCGATGTCTGCCCACCTTCTGCCTTCATCGCAATTGCGATGGTTTCCTCGCAAATGCGAGGTTCGCAATTGCGAACAATTCCTCGCATTTGCGAGACCTGCAACCTCTCATAGAAACACCAGAAAATTGGGGTGTTTTTCACCCCCAACCCATGCCCGAAACTCACCCGACCCCTCGGGGCTCCACTCCGAACACCCATACAAGTCCAACAACCTTGTACAAACTTGCTCGAGCGATCAAATCGCCGAAATAACATCTAAAACTACGAATTCAACTCCAAAACGCATGAAATCCATAAGAACACTCAAATTCTTATTTTTACAACCGGACGTCCGAATCACGTCAAATCAGTCCCGTTTCTCACCAAACTTCACAGACAAGACTTAAATATTATATTGGACCTGTACCGGGCTCCGAAACCAACATACGTGTCTGATACCAACATGATCAAGCATTATTCCTTTTCATTAAATCCTTAGAATTTCAGTTTAACAATTTCTAACAAAAATTCATTACTCGGGATAGGGACCTCGGAATTCGATTTCGGGCATACGCCCAGGTCCCATGTTTTCCTACGGACCTTCCGGGACCGTCAAAATACGAGTCCGTGTCCGTTAACTAAAAATGTCGACCAAAGTCAAACTTAGCCTTTTAAGAAAATCTTAAGGAATCAAGTGTGCCTATTTCAACCCAAACTCTTCCAAATCCCGAACCAACCATCCCCGCAGGTAGTAAATTAGTTAAAGCAAGCGCGGGAAGTCTTATTTAGGGGAACGGGGTTCTGAAAAGCGAAACGACCAGTCGGGTCGTTACAGTTTTACGGTTATATTTGTATGTATAGTTTCTTATTTGAAAATTTGGAATATGTTTGCAGCTATATTCAAGTATATAAATTGTTCGTTGAATGTACGAGAAATAAATTGTGTTAAATTTGTAGCTTCATTAAATTATCTAATCTGTTAGAATGAACAATAGTGGACTCAAATTTAGCAAACTTAAAATGCAAAATTAAAATGAATTGATCAAAAATAGAAATAAGAGATAATTTGTTATTCTTAGTTGACATATCAAGCAGTAGTGTCTCAAGCAAGTTGAGTTTTACAAATTAAAAAACAAGAAAAAAATGAATAAAAATGAAATAGAATTTTTTTTATAATTCAAATTCATTTAACATATTGAATATTTGTATTGTAAATGTTGTCTCTATCAAACTAAGATTTTAAAGCGTTAGTTTGATAGTTCTCACATCTCTAACATGAAATATGGTGATACATCATCTATCTATCTATTTATACTATACTAAAAGTGGAAAGCCCAAAGCTAAAAAGTTAAATTACTAAAATACCCTTCTAAATATTAAAAAAAAAAGTAAAAACTTACGCTATAAAAAAACCCACAAAACAATGCTTCATACCCGTTCATTAATAGTCACGACCATTCCATTTACAAAGCCAAACAGAAACAAATCACCACTTCCCAAAGCTAAAGAAACAAATTGTCACTCCTCATTCTTTTGATAAATTTCTACAAAATATCCATAAAATCTTTTACTATTTTGATAACACTAATATACCGGCAAAAGTAACACATAAATTATCATATGCTTTAAGATTCCTACATATTATTGAATTCCAAATCTATCACTAGCTGCAATGTTGCCTCATTATTTTAGAAATGCATGCACTGAATATTTTTCTTCCAATGGTAAGTATGGATGAACTTATTTCTTTTGTTTTTTTTATTTCTTATTTGTTGTGGCTTTCTTGTTTCCCCTTCGATGTTTGTACTGGATTATTAATTTATAGGATTGTTTAGGTGTTGTTTGTGGTTGAGAAAATTGCAGGAGTACAATTTTTTTCATGTCAATAATTTTGTATTATTTTTTATTACTCACTACTTTTCAATGTGTAATAAATTAAAAAAAAACCTTTCATTACTTAGTATACTATGAAGCACGCGATGTTCCTTTTTTCCTTGCATATGATGGTTTAGCTTAACATCCATATATTACTATCATAAAAATCAGTTTTTGGTTTAGTTTCTTTCCTTTATCAATTTTAGAGATTAAAAAAGAGAGAAGAGTATGATCCCGGTGTTGCTTTTTCTTACATTTGTTCGCGTGAAGGAAAACACTTGCCATTTAAACGTGAAAACAAAATAATGGAAAGAAATCTAATGTTATGATTGATAGAAAAACATTCATAAATATGTTTTATGAAATAAAAATATAAATACAATAGAACTAAATAATTCATATAAAATATCTTAGAAAAATAACAAGTCCAGCATTTTCATAAAATATTTAAAATATTTCAAAAAATACAAACAATAAAGATATGTTTTTTATGAAGCCAGGTTTTGCTTTTAAAAAGGTCTCTATTTAAATGAGAACCGATTGTGTAGAAAAGATAAATGAAACCAGATTTACTTTTAAAAGACCCCTATTTAAATGAGAACGGATTACAGACACACACGAAACTTAAACATAAATATCTTTTGGAATAGATTGAAAGAATAAATTCTAATTGTCATTTTAATATGAATTTCTATTTTATACTAATTAGGATAGTCTTAACACGTTTAAAATCCATCAACACCAGGTAATTCAATTATAATGACAAACTTTCACCTAAACAAAGATAATATCTAATGCATTGTTATGTTCTTGGATAGAGATTATTTGTAATACGAAGAAAATAGATTAATCAAAATATAAATGTTGGATTCTGATTTTTTAATATGTTTGAGACAATTCCTATAGTTTTTTTTAGATTAAATAAATAAAATATTTTTTCTGCTAGCCTAGAGATAAGACATCTTTTCTTAGTTGGTTGACGATGTTTGTGTATTTAAGAATAAATAATAAATAGCTTTCCAAAAAAATTCATAAGAACTTTTAAATTTTTTAGGGTTATATGTTATTGCTAACTAGAAAGGAAGCATGATAACTTGTGAAATTGAATTAAAGAAATTATAAAACTTGAAAACTTTAAATTGACTATATTGACTAAGATGACTGATGACTTCCAAGGTAGAATTTCGTCATTTACTGGTTAGCTAAACAAAGTCAATAATAATTAATTTTTTTGTATTTAAACGTTTGTCTTTCACTTTTTTTTCTATAGCTCAAACATATATAATATTTTTATAATTTAAACAAAAACTACACTACTAGAGGCGGAACACACGCGCCAAGCGCGTGCCTAGAGACTAATAATTTATAAATTACACAAACGCTATCTAGAAGCGATGTCCTACTTACACCACCCAAGACCCAATTTAACTCCTCAAATGAGCAGCTAAAACATACCA